GCACACACACTAAAGCCTCCGGTCTTATCCTATGTCACTTTGGTAGTATCACTGAAGCCAATCACTTCCTTAATAGTCAGTCATTACTGAGGCGTATCCCAACAATTTAAAAGATAAGAATCATCCATGAAAGGACTACTATCCAGCGTCGAATTTTCAATGGAACACAAACTAATCAACCCAGACTATGTAACCGCGGCAGTTACAGCGTTTGCCACTGCACAAATCCTAAAACACCATACACTACCCCTCCTACAAACGTAGGTACGTCGGATGCTGTTATTAGTCCTAAGAACAAGACTCCAAATAAAGCAGCTGCAACCACTCGTCCTCGGCCCAAACACTCAGCTACCCCAAAATGCCAATCCACTTATGCCTCAATAGTGCCCCAGTATTGCCCTAGCGGCCCCGATAAAAGGCCTAAAAGTGATCCTCCCAGGAATTGCGCTAGCAGCTACAGACACTCAGACACCGCTGTACGAAGTAATACTAAACTCTCCGTAAAAACCCACCAGTACTCCGGCATCTCTAACCCAAAACATGCACCTTTTTATAGAAGTAGAACGCCCTACAACAAACATGGTGAACTGACAGTACCCACTCATCCTAACGTGAAACGTCACTCGACAAGAACCACACCTACACGTGATACCCGTAAGTCATATAGTGTGAACCTTGCAAGCTCCATGAACCAGCACAAAACTAAACACAACAGAAACACCTCCCTTTGCAACAATGTCAGGCAATCCTACATTCCTCAACAGAAACATACAACTGCCCCAACTACCCATAACAGGACTAAAATTGCCCACCGCACACAAGGAAGCCATAACGTTGGCCTGCTTGAGAACCCACTTACTAGTTCTAGATACTGCCTAAGTCAAGCCATTCTATACAACTCTTTAATCCCCCCTACCTCAACATATATGCCATCTCATCCTTTTTCATCTCCCCCCTCAACAGTGCTGCTATGTGGTCTCCAAATGTTGATGGTGACAACCCCACTATTCTGAGACCATCTATATACTCCGACTTAATGAGGAGTGGAACATGTTTCTCAACGTCGATAACTGTTTCTAGTCTTATAAGCTCCTTGACTGAACCTCATGGTCACTCTCCGAACACACTACCTAACCATCCAACTCTACCTTTCACTCTTAAACATACTTCTCTCAACAAACTAACCTCCAACTATTTTTCGCACATTAACCCTATTGGTAATAAACTAAACGCTCATCAATATGGAGTGAACACTCCCAATTCTTCCTTTTCTCATGGCAAAACAGACAATCTACTGGTTTTACGTCATGCTCTTCTACTAGACAAACACTCATCGTACCTGACGCTTATGTTAATCAACGCTCAATCTGTACAAGGTAAGATGACTCACCTGCACACCCTATTACTTTTAAAAAACCCTCGCTTGTTTTGGTAACGGAAAGTTGGCTGTCCTCCGATACCACAGACACATATTTACAAATAGACACCTATGAGCTCTTCCACTGTGATTGAGTCACCAAGAAGAGTGGTGGTTGTCTTGTTTATGTATCAAAATATTTGAGGGGGGAAATCTATAGCTATCATACCCTCAGCAAAATTCCTGATTTGATATGGCTTACTGTGCACACTCATTAATTTAAAATAGTAATCGGATGCATCTATCGAGTGTTTATTTTCGCTGCAATGTAAGCCGTCTCAAAATGTGCTTCACATGATTGAATAGTGAATAATGACTTCGCTAGTTTTAACGCACACCGTCTGATACCATAGTTCATAAAACACGGCAATATCTAATAACAACTAGTATAATATGTTTCTACTACTTCAGAGTCAGTCTCATAATTTAACTTTCACCCAACTCCGTCTTCGATACTTAAAGGCAGAAAGTTGGGAAGAACCTTCGTCATGTCTGCGATTCCATTATGTAGCTATGACCACCAAAATGTTTACCATCCCAACCACATAGAGATAAAAATGATAGGCAGAGACCCAGTCGAAATCATTTAAGAGGTCGAACAGTAGTGCTCAAAATATATGTGTTTATGAGTCACTAGACTGATCTTGGTAACGAAATGCAGGTGGTTATCTTGGTTGGCAGAACTATTTACACGAAACAGCTCTGCCATATACGATCCCCCTATTATTTTATTTTCACCCTATGTTATCATAGAGATTCTTCCTGTTTTCGTCATTAATGGGCTTTGATTCTTCTATAGACAAAAAAGGTTTGGCCAGGTTGGAACCCATTCATAATCATACTCTGTCACCTATTTTCCAGTACTATCATGTCTTTATTTCATGCTCTCTATGTCATTCTTCACCTATTGTGCTTATTAATTGATCTAAATGAGTGCTCCAAACAAGTCATGAGACCGCTTTATCCCCAATTGTCTTCTTTCCCAGATTCCCCCACACATGTTCATTTGGTCATTCACACAGCACACAACAAGCTTCCAGGTCAGTGTTAGACGTAAAATCTACCAACGACTAAATGTTACAATACAAATTCGACAGAATCCTGATATCAGACAATATCTTTAGATGCATGCAAGACTTCTAATAATAATGAACACATCAAAATGTATTTTGTGATCAATATAGAACAAGATACTGAGCCCTGATGGGTTAAATCCACGATTATTTCGCGATCAATCGCAATGCTCTTCATAACGTCTCTTTGCCTCAGACATGAAAGGTGCTATAGTCAGTCCCATATTTAGAGGGGGTCAGAGACGAATAGTACCTACTTACCCATCTGTCAACCTAGACAACATATTCGTTAGGTTACTTGAAAAGATAATTCAGGTTAAGTTACTAATGTAATGAGCAGACGAAGTTTATCAGAATTGTGTGATATATTTGCGCAAGTCATTTCGAACAATCCGATCACACATATACTTGTTAAGACATTTTTGTATGAAAATTAAAGGTCAACTAGACAGGTTAAAGGTAAGCCATAACAAGGGAAAAAATAATAATATTAAAGTACACGAAAACAATGTGATTACCACTCTGGATAATAAATCAGTATTACCAAGGTAGGTTAATTGTAAGGAAAAAATGTTTTTGAACGCATAAAGGATTAGTAAAGGGCTTATTCAATAGAATCAATCGTATTTGTACTAGTGACACTATTGAAGTAGAGACGGAACTCTTGACTGATACGTTAATGAACAACGGTTATTCATTAAAGTTCACAAACGGCTGGAAGGGTTGCAATACGACTAGACCTATGATGCTTCTGGCACCTCAAAAGCGGGTTTATATTAAGTTATCATTTAGAGGCGACACAAATAGTCACATTTTGAAACGGAGATTTAAATTAGCCATCAACCAGACATTTCATGCAGCCCAACTTGTTAGTATCGAAAAGACAAGGTCTATGTTTCACCAAAAGCTCAAATAGCACGAAAGCGATTATGTCACATCCCGTTGTGCCTATCAGTTTACATGTGTGTGCGGAAACACGTACACAGGGAGGAGCAGCTGTGATTTGCAATTAAGGGTGGGTGAACAAATGCCAAAATGGCTGCGGAAAAATGGATTCTAGTGGCCAAATAAGATCATAGGATAGACAGACATAATCCTCCATTGCGAAACATTTGACTGAGACTGGTCATAAGGTTGACATCAAGTCAGCATTTGTAGTGTTATACGAAAGCCTTCAAGGACGTATACTAAGGTCTATTGAAGCCTTGGCTATACGGAAATCGAAACCCCGTTTATGCGCTCAAAAACATTTTTTCCTTACAATTAACCTACCTTGGTAATACTGATTTATTATCCAGAGTGGTAATCACATTGTTTTCGTGTACTTTAATATTATTATTTTTTCCCTTGTTATGGCTTACCTTTAACCTGTCTAGTTGACCTTTAATTTTCATACAAAAATGTCTTAACAAGTATATGTGTGATCGGATTGTTCGAAATGACTTGCGCAAATATATCACACAATTCTGATAAACTTCGTCTGCTCATTACATTATCAACATTTATCAAATGGACTAATTGTTTTAAGTTAATAAGTCATATAGAATCTTACAATCTGTTGACTCTCGAGGAACACGGGTTTCGAAATAACCACTCATGCTTGACCAACTTGCTTATTGCGAGAGAGGATTGGGCAGCAACCCTAGATAACGGTCTGTCTGTCGATGTGATATTCATAGATTTTAGCAAAGCATTTAACAAGGTTTCACACTTGAGACTTATGTAGAAGCTTTCAAGCTTCGAAATAATAGGTACTGTACAGGAGTGGATAAAAACTTCTTATGCGACCGCAAACAGAGGGTGAGGGTTAATGGAACGCTATCCGAATGGAAGCCGGTCAAAAGTAGTCAACCTTAAGGCACCATATTAGGCCCTCTTCTCTTCCTTCTCTATGTTCATGAGTTACCGCCGTTGCTTAGGTCGTCGACATTATTGTTTGCGAATGACGCAAAACTCTGGAGAACAATAAAAAGTGAGGCTCATCATTTGGATCTCCAAGCTGACTTAGACGAATTAGTTAGATGGGCTCGAGGTTGGGGCTTAGAAATCAACTCTAGGAAGAGTGTGCTAATGCACATAGGTCACGGTACTAGTTACCACCATACTATTGATGGCAAACCTCCTCCATGTGTTCAAGAACATAAAGGCTTAGGAGTAATAATAAGTCGTGACTTGAAAACAACTACTCATTGCAATGCAGCTGCTGTCATAGGTTTTCGTGCGTTGTAGTCAGTTCGCCGAGCATTCAAATGCTTTGACGAGGAAATGTCTCGAATTGTATATCCCACCTATGTAAGACCACATTTGGAGTACTGTATCCAAGCTGCATGTCCAGCGTGTAGGAATCAAATTAGTAAAGTGCATTTCTAAATTCCCTTACGCCTAAACCTTTTCCCCTTGTCGTATCGTAGGACGCGATGTGACCTTATACTGGCATTTTGTATCTTTAATTACGCGATCTAATAAACTTAAAGTGGGGTCCCGTTTTTCTCATCGAGTGGTCAATGACTGGAACGCCTTAGCCGAACAAGTGGTATGAGCCCCATCAGTAAAAATTCTCAAGGAGAAGCCGTAACTTCACTGGAAGGCAAACTGTCGGGATTAACACAGGTCCAACAACCCACTATCCCTATTACTGAAGACAAAATCTGAAGTTTGAAATTCATAGGGGCGCTAGTTCGTACATGTGAGCTACGTGGGTGTTGCTAGTCATATCATGGAGTTAGCTGAGACAAAGCCAAAGAAATCAAACAAACCGAAAGGTATCTTCGTGAGCTATTAGTTGGCATTCTGCTTCAGATACACCTTTTCACCAGCAGCGTCTAAAGTCATGGAGACCAATTCTAACTGCTAGGAATGCGTTTCCAATATTTCTCACTATTGGGTTATTATCCATACCAGTGGGTATTGTTTTACTTGCATCCTCTAATAGCGTAAGTCTTCGTCTTGCTTCTTCACCTTGGTAAGGTCTTAGAGGTTGTTGTGGAGTATACTCACTGCGAAGATACCGTACGCCATACACGATGTTCTGAGTTGGTCAGACTTCCTGACTTCTATAGGACATATAATATATGTTCATGCAAAGTCGAATTTGAACTCAAGGAAGAGTTCAAGGTAAGTTTTTCATGGATCTACGTCGTCTAAAATACTTAGTAAATGCCAAAGTAGCAATGTTGTGTCCAATGCTTTGCTTTCTATACGTATTGCTTACAGTTCCATCTGACCCAAAAATGTTCATTTCAAATCGGCATGGTCACTCTAATATTATGCGATCGTATTAGCGTCATAATGGCTTAGGTTTAGGAGGAATGTTCTTGCCATTCATTGTTACTACGATTTTGTTTATTATCCATGTAACGACAGTAGAATTTTAATTGGCTTATTGCTTCCACCAGTGATTTTTTCTACATTTTTGCTAATAAAGGTTTGCTGTTTATTTTAATGCTAAAAATATTACCACTGTTGGGTCGAGAATTTGTGTTGCTAGTACATGTATAACATGTCTACTAATGTCAGTACGAGAATTTCCTTTTATGCTACTCTTTTAGTTCACCGCATATAGATGATATCTCCATCCAATAAAATTTGACTTACAGAAATCAGTTCTCATCAACTGTAACTTGGATAACAAGAACTCATTCGGACTACTCCAGTCGTTATATTTAGTATTATTCGTCTCTTAAATGCTTAACAATCTAATAATTACATAAACGTAGATATTTGCTTCGATTCTCTTATCATCGATATGGTAATTATTATATTTAAACGGGTTCTCCATTTATGAAACTAGTTCTTACTGTAGCTTATAAATAGCAACAATATATTCACCATTACATATGTAGACAACCGTAATTCATTGACGTGAGACGTTAAAATATTTAGTGCTGACATGAAGCATTTGTAAGTGAAATTGATTATTACTAATTGTGACTTGAGTTTTTCGGTCACCTCCGAGTCGGTAAGTCATCAGAACAAACCCTGTATTTTCACTGTATGGTTAGTTGAATGTTCGTAATGTTTAAATTTCCGAAAAAAATCATCTACATTCTGTGTAGTCCTTCGCTTCATATACCACAAAGCCCTCTGTTATGCTTTATTATGCTAACTTTGACTACTCTCACAGGTGATTCTGATGCTAAATAACTGAACACATCTGACATCCCAAATATCACTCCGAAGTAATTGTTCGCATCCAACAAAAAGTTTCAGTAGACAAATCTAAAATCACTTGCTATAGGTGTATGCTCTGTTTTAAAAATCCAGGAAGGACGAGTATTTTTTGTTCACCTAGCCTCAATTTTCCGGTGTTCACATTTAGGCTATCTGGATAGTTATATACGTTTTTCCAGTTACGTGTTCTATGATGATTATTGTTGTGTCGGGCGGTGTCCAAAATCTGATACTGATGCAGTGTGCTACTTCCCAACTGACTACTTAAGCGAGAACAGAAGAGTGAGTGAGTGTATTGGGCTACCGAATAAAATGCGCAAATACTCATTCATATATATGCCGCCACTAATCCTCAGAAAATCGAACCATTTTCTAGCCAACGAAATACACATGTCCTTTGGATCACTTCTGATTGCCAGCGATTGACCTTTTCATCAGGCTACTTCTGATTGGCTCTCCATATCAATTACTAATAAGTTAGCCTATTTAATATGGTTTTTAGAACCCTAGTGTCTGCGATCACCCAATATCTAATGGGGTCATAGACAAAATACTCTAAAAAGAGTAGGTTTATGGTTTAAATAAATGTGAGTTAGTCAAATCTGCACATCTTTTCGGACATTTTAGGTTCAGCATTAAATTTATTGAATCCAGCTAAAGTGATTATTTTTATCTTATCCAAAATTATTTATAAATTCGTCAATTATAAAGTAAATAAATGACGTTATACATAATCCTTTTTTATCTGAGGGTCAAGTGTACTTTTACTATGGCCTGTCAAATTTCTTCCAAAATCATCGCCGCTACGTCATATCAAAGGATGATTACCAGTTACACGGTTCCGTGGAAACTCCAAAACCAAGTTGTGAACCGTATCGATTCGATCCCAATGGAAAAGTCTATGCCCCATGTGGAGCTATTGCAATGAGTTTATTCAATGGTAATTTTGATACCGCTATCCTTCACACTGATAAGTTTCCGAAATCTGATATAATAGTATTTTTTTAAATTTTACCATTTCTCCCGATTGTTAGCGTGTAATAAGATTCTTTGGCGTCTAAAACAGCAACCACCGATGTTTCCATTTTTTAATGTTCAAACCCAGAAAAACCTGGTACATTCTCTCCCTATCCATTGCATGCTTCCTTACGACTTGTAGTTATATCTCATAACTAACCGATGATATTCACACATCGTTTCGTTTACATGTATACGGCGTGAAGGCTCAAGAGTTAAGGGGTTCGACCTTCGGCTACCAAGTCCCAAGTCTGAACACTTCCATCTACCTCAGTTTAAGCAATCGAATTACATCATTTCCCCTAACACTAAGAGTGTGGCTCATCACCAAGTACTGATGAATAAGTTGATAACTTGGTAATATAAAATGAAAACGGTGGTGATATAAGGTAATCGACAGTAATCTCGCGCTGTTTCAATAAACGGTTCCGTATAAGTTCGTGCGAACAGTATAAACTGTGGCTCACAATATTTGCAAACTTGAAAAGAGGTTCATGCTTCGCATAATTACGAGGGCTAAAAGTTGCCATGAAACGAAGTTAATAGACAACAAACTATCTAAAGCTTTGCAGACTTAAATATATCATAAGTTCGTTCAAAATCACTATTTTAATGGTATGACCTAATATGCTACCAAAAATCTATTTTATAAGACTTATCATCAAGATATAGTCAATGAAAAGAAAACAGACATTCTCATACGTATATTATGCAGATAAATTTATATAACCTGATCAATAGAGACACCTGCTGGAGATGTGATATTCGTAAGAATTATTATGCCTAAGAAAAGACCATCAACGGGTTCCAGGGAATGAAAAAAGGGTACTTGGAAGTTACAAAATCTACCTAAATCAAACAGCTGATTGCTTTTTTATTCTCTGTTGTCGTCACATATTTTGGCTGAAGAAATGATATGCGTTTATCTGAAGTTACCCACATGTCGCTTGGTTACTAGGATGCTGGAAACATGTCTTGAAGTCATTGTAATTGATCTTCTGAATCATCTTCGAATAGATAAATCGCGTTTGTACACGAAGTTGACTTTATGCACATTAATTTTTATTACGAGTTTTTAATTGTATTTTCAGAAATAGTTACTCCTTTACGAGTGTGTTTTGGCCTACCAAATGTAGAACACCATAAAAACCGTCCTCATTAACTCTTATTTTTAGATAGGTAAATAATGTGGTTGGGAGAATTGGGAAGTTGGATTTGTATTGGTGGGATGACTCAATGAAACCTCAACAAAATAGTCGATTCAGTATTTTGCTGCCCTGGTACGACCGAGAGTGGGGAGAGTCCGCTCTCCCTCTTGAAATGCTCTCATATGGCCACGCGTATATAGCCTCTGCCAGGGAAGTCCTACTCACTACCTTCTCACAGCGGGGGTGTTGTTTACGAAATTGAGAGGACGAAAAGCAAATGTCCGGCGCTTTAACCGGGTTGGTGGACATGGAGAGTCCACCTAGGGGAGTTGGAAGACCCTGATTCCAAACCAATAGTGCACATGGACTCCAGTATCCTAAAGGAAAAAGTGGCGTATGAACCAGTCGTTGGTTACCTACTGGCTACCGTGGGACTGCATCTCCTTACGTTGTTCCACTGCCTTGTGGATCAGACCTTCAGGTCGAAGGCTCCGGGTGTGGCCCCCAAAGAAAACCACCTGCTTCGGTTTGGGCACCCGGGCAGTATCACGGCCCTCACACATATCAAATGAGATTTGTGTGGCGCATTTGTATTCGGTGCCTCCTTGTACCAATATCTATGTGTTGAAATAAATAAATATGCAACTATAGCAAAATGTTGGCAAACGAACAAAAGAGCTAGTATAGTGCTCAACAGTCAAGTTATTTTTACTTTATGGTGGTGTTATTCCCATTAAAAATACTAGGAATGCATAGTTTAGAAGAATTTGACCTTATATAACGACATAGGCTTATTCGTGTGTAGTGGAGCGTCTCGTTAGTCCATTCTGAATTCAGGTAAGGTTAAAATGCTTTGCAGGATTCGAAGCACCTAATGAATGATGCTGATAGGCTATGTGTCATGCATATCGTGTTGCACAGAGTAAAATTTGGTTAGAAAGTTAAGCGTAAGCAGATTAATGAATGTCATGGACCATCGGTTTTAGCAATATAGAGACGTGTAGACTATCTAGATAGACCAATAAATGTTCTGAAATTTAGTATTTAAAAGCCAGAAAACGTGATTAATAAAGATATAGATTCACTCATTGTTGGTTTTCATCTTAATATTAAATGTCTTATTAAAAATCACTAGTACTTTTTACATTCTGCTGCAAAGCTTACAAACCAAACCATTATGAGAAAACAAAGCAACTGGTTAGTAAACAAAGTACCTGTCCATACACAATCTATGTCGGATTGTTAGTGAAAATCGACCATATGAGGCGACCAGATATTCTTCTGACCGGTCCACAGAATAGGTAATGTATTTCAGTAGAATCATTTATGGAATCGTTTTTCATTTCAGATTCATTTACTCTAAAATATCTTGGTAAAAGCTCGGAACCTCTTGCTAAACCATTACAAGTTCCAATGACAAATAAGGGGATCGCTTGGCGTACTGATGTTGAAGAAAAATTTGGAAAACCACCAGCTGATTCATGGGCAAACACAGTAAAGCCAGTCAGTTGGAAAAAGTCAGCTCTTGAACGCTCATCTGGTGCATATAGCGAAGACGAAGAGTTATTGGTATGGATGCGTGTTTCAGCACTACCAACATTTCGTAAATTACATCGTCTAGTCACTCATGTCGGCGCTTTTTCAAATGGTCTACCAGCTGGAATTTATAGCGTCGATATTGAGTACTGTGAGTACTGATTTACTTTTACTTTTTTTTTCGACGTGACTGACATGTTTTTCGTCAGTTAGATCCTCTCAGTTAACAGAAATTTAGTTTCCTATGCTCAAGGTTACACTTCTTTCATTCATCTGATGTAATAGTTTTTTTACGTTATGGTCCTTGTTGATAAGCTGACTGTTTAAATGGCAGCTGGATCTTGGATACGACAGTAAAGCTCGGTAGAGTCATATCAAATCCCATATAAGGTTATAAATCACTCTATCTCTTGCTTATTTTTTCCGAACTATTGTAAGTTTGTGTTGTTTTTAACCATTTTGCTAACCCGTTTTAATGTGTGATAATAAGAGCAAAATTTTTAGATCGATAGCAAGCGTTATTTCATTTAATTAGAACAAATAAACTTGAAGTGGAAGCAGAATTTGTTCTATTTTACAGCTTCTTACCTGCAAACTGTTTCAAATGGCAACAAATTTGTCATAAGTAATGTTTATGGAAATATGCTTTGAACGTATAAATTTATAAAATAGTAATTAGACTACGCGTAGAAAACAAAATTTGTCAACTACAATTGAAAACGTGATAATGTATATGAGTTAAAAAATTTTGATCGTAAAAGGAATGAACAAATGGCTTAAGAAGAATTAAACCCTAATAGACTGAGGAATTATATAATTTCTCTGAGTCATTTGAAAAAAACTTAAGAGGATAAACCAGTAGTATTAATTTGGTAGTTGAAAACTAATTAATAGGATAGTGTAGGTTTAGTCATCTTGTTTTTCTGTTTGGAAAGGTCGAACTGAAAGATTCCTCAAAACGCAGTGGAATTGGCATCCTTCGTTCCTTTGGTATCGTAATTGGTTAAAGAATATCTGTTTAGTGACCGATGTTCATCAGATGCCTTGAGATTGCACTAGGGAAAGACCCTGTTTCTATTCAAGATTTTAGATTCGGTCAACAGTGGGTAACGCAGAATCTGACTCATATATGAGTTGGTCCGAATTACCACACCATATCAACACACTAAGATGAGTACTAAGTTATTAGAAATAGTATCATTTGTGACAATTAGGCATAACGAATACGATTCAAGAAGGATGAACTCAGAGCAGAAAACGTATAATATAACTTTTATATCCAGGATCTCGAGATGAACAGAGTGAATAAATCTGCACCATTGCAACGGATTCTGAGTAACTATAATGTTTTGAATTATTTGAATTATAGCACGAACTAAGAGTCCCAGAAATAACGCAATTGAATGAAGAAATGAGACACGAGCACAAACGAATGTATTGTATTTGGAATTCGAAATCAAGCATTCAACAAGTACAAAGGTATCATTAGTTCATTCAAACATCACAGTAACATCATCCAACATCTATACGAAATCGTCGCAATAATCATCCATATTCCAGACTGGGTAGTAAACAACCATTAACATGGTCCAGACCAAGTTAATGACTTCATGTACTGATTCCGACTAAATGCCTTCGTTTAACTTTTTTTATTTGCTACTCTTTCTAAGTCTATATAAATTGGTAAATATAGTTAGCGGGTACGTGAGCATAAAAAGTATCTACTTAATACCAAAGTAGGAAGTATATGATATCAATGTTATCTATCTTCCCATTAGTTGTTTACACAAGCAGTCAATAACTTATCCATATTCGATCAACACTCCTAAGTATATCTGAATTTTTTTGACACTCACTCATTTTTTCCCTGAGTGCTTGCGGATTTTAGTAATTACTAACAATATGCTATCCTTACAACTGGTTTTCTGGCTTTTGAATATCCTCGAGTAAATTCAAATTACTACTAAAGGATTTGGCCTGTTTTAAATACTCAGTTAACGAGGTATTATTTATTGGTGTCAAATAGAGAGGAATTGACTTCTACAACACTGTATACAGATCATTCCAATAGTTTCATTTATTTACATATCCATAAGCCACCAGTTAACATTAAACTTTACTACAAAATTTTCAAGTATTTTATTTCTTAAGATACTAGAAAATAAGATCATTTGATTCTGAAGATGTATTTTTTATATTTGCGTTTCGCAAATTTACCAAATAAAAAATTTCACTCAAGTTCATATTATTCCCCTGATTTAATTTTGCTTGTTTTTATTGTACATTCAGCTTATCCTGTCACTCAATTTGGTGGCACTAAACGAATTATACTGTCTACGATGAGTTGGTTAGGTGGCCGAAATCCAACATTAGGAATATCCTATATTGTTGTGGGCAGTGTGGGCCTTATTTTAGGTCTTATATTTTTCATTCTTCACTTTCATACAATGAAGTAAGTTGATATGTTTTTTGCGAAAGCTTTTATCATTTGTTTTTCGAATATACTAAGTCTTAAAAAGAGGTGGGCAGTCAATGTTGTGCTACTGTTTTTCGTGAAAATCTTGACTCGGTTTATTTTTTTCTCAGGCAATCCGAGTTGTAAGCAGAAAACTAAATGTAAGAAGTATAGTTTGATGAGAGCGAATGAAAAATATTAAATAACATTGAAACTAAATGGTAATAAGGAATGCTTACATCTGCAATGCTGTCATTAATTTCATGTCAGCAAATACATATAAAAACAGGAAATAATTCGAACTGAAATTTTTCTTATTTGGGACGGGAATGAGTATGTACGCTGAAGGTGTTTAATAGCATCGAATTTACACTTACAGCAATGCTCGGTAACATAACATGTTAGATATACACAAAGGGGAGGGAATTATTCCTGCATATTCTGTAGTTTTGTTAGTGTTCTATGTTTTTTTATCAAATAAGCCTGGTTCCCTTAATACCCACAACAGTAGTTTATGGGGTTTGAATTTTGTTGGGTTATTATAAAATGAGCAACCAGACAGTCATGTAATATCAGCTTAGAAATAAATTGTCACGGTACATAATTAGACTAAAACATTTTGAAATTAAACTATAAAATCTTATCCTTGTTAAATCAATATAAACACTAATTAAAAAATATTCTTCACTGTTTACTTATTTTTTGTACAGGCATCGATAACCTAGCGTTCGTAAACATCAAATGACTTTTCGTCCAGATCATGATTAGTCATATAAAAACTTGTTAGTCGTTCCATAAGATATGAAGTGGCTTCTAGTGATATATTTTGAAGGGTCCTTTATAAAGTATTTTTTATTTATAACTTTTATTTTTTTGTGAATTTGTAATACTCACGCTCTTAAAAACAAACTTTTGAATGTGATATTTTCAAGATTTCTGGTATAATATACTGTTCTTGTCTATGCTTCGATTAGTTTTTCTGTTGGGTAATTTGTTACACGGCAGATATACATCTTACCTGTGGCTTCTGTTATTAAACTTTAGTTTAGTCAGTCCATCTACAAAGTAGGACCAGGCACATACATGCTTCGGTACAAGTTTCCCTACCTCATTAGCACAAGGTGAACATATTCATAATAGTTACTTCAATGGTAGTAATATATATAATGAAAAGATTGCATATAAGGATTTGATATAGGGAAAGAATCAGTTCTCATAAATGTGTAAAGTAATTTTAATTTCACGGTTTAAGGGAAGACAAAGATTGTACACACTTACACCATTGTGATCGATTCTGAGCCATGTCACACCGAGTTTCCAACCACTGGTTACGATAGTTGCGCGGAACTCAACCAAGTAGTCTGCATCTACTAACATGACTCAGACCGGAAGTTAGTGACTTTATGGATTGATGCCACGTTTTGGTCTGAACGCCCCTAAATTTCTTCCATCCGTCTCCAACTGGTTAGCACTGCACGCCGTGGGAATCTAGTCCAACTTGTCATTGTTTTAGTTTCCTGACTCCTAATTGAGCACCAAATGCTCTAGATTCTTTCGATCTACATTGGTTGGTTACGGCTCACTACAAAATCCCTCTTGAAGAAACGTTTCTTGGGATGCGTTGCACGTTTGGGTAAGCCCATTTGGGGATACATGTTTCAACCACCTCGGTCGACAAGAATTTATTGTCTTATCAACGGGTTTCCCCAGTTTTTACCTCTAGTACAAATACTGCTCGCTAGCAATTCTTTAAAAATGCTTACGATCAAACACTTGCAGCCTACTCATGTCGAATGCTTTCGTAGGTCACACTTCACAACCTTTGTGCCAATACAAGGCGAAACGACACACAATACGAGACGGTATAAAAGATTTATAGCTCAGGTAGATTTTGTCGGAGTCTCGGTCCTTTAGATGGGAGGCTTAATCGTGAAGCTTTCATTGTCCTTCTCAACAACATCAGGTATAGTGAGTTAATTTCTCACCGTTCAATTTGCTCAGCTATTCTCCATCCCGTCAGGGAATTGGCTGTTGTTCAGAAGAACAATGAAAGCTTCATAATTAAACCACCCTAGCTCAGAGAACGAAACCCCACCACAAAGTTACAATGTATTTGTTCTTTGGTTGATGTACAAGCATTTCGCCTGCACTATAGGAATTACTAGTAAGCAATAGGTAAACGAGACTTGGGTATACTGTATCACTACTTTGTTAACCACGAACACAACCCTCGAACCAGCAATCTGTCCTAGGAGATAAAATGTCTCCAAAAATACGAAAATTTTATCCGGGTTTAAACTACATATTTCTGAATGTGAGGACTGGTGATGCCATCTGGCTGTTCAACGCAAAGATAAAGCCGGAGTCCTAACAGTATATTGGTACCGTTTGAACATTAGATTTCACCGAAGACGAAACGCATGGAAGTCACACAAAATATTCAGTGGGTGCACTTTAATAGTATGAAGAAATACGACAAAACTTGCAAGTTTGTTAAATAAGTGGTTTAGTAACGAATTAATCAAAAAGCTTACACATGAATAATCATTATTAGTTCGAGCATAGTCAAGGGGAATGTAACTTGACCATATATTCAGAAACGACAAAAGGGAAACTAATTCGGAATATGTTTAATATAAAATTAAACCTTGTTTTATGTACATACAGATTGTAGGGTTAAGGAAGTATACAATAAGTCTGACAAACAAAATGAACATCGTAAATATGCGTACATAATTGTTATAAGAAATACTGATATTGAATCCGGACTGAAATACGATCAATAAAATAAGTTAGAATACTCCTTAGTCATCCAATTCATGCAGTTGGAACCGTTCTTCATCATACAAACGAGCTTGGACAACACGACCAGCAAAATAGCGTTGATTTAGGGCGCAGCAAGCAGCTTTAGCGTCATCCGATCGGTCAAACTGAATAAAGATGCGAACATCCTGACTTGTCATTATATGAATCAAAACGCGTAGAACAGAACCGTAGTTCCCACACTCCTCCATTACTTCCTCCTGAAGTTCGTCGTCCACTTCATTAACACCTACCATATTCTCAAGCAATAAAACCCTAATAGGGACAATAAGCAGACAAATTAAGTATTAAGACCACTGAGTATAAAAGTATACTGAATGAAAAGAGTACAATCATGAGTCCACTTAAATAGATTTTGAACCTCGAGGTAATCGTAATCTATAATTATCAACACATTTAATGTACCCTAAGTCAACGACAGACTTCTACCGCCAATGAGCTCCAGTTAAATAAAGTTCCTTATTAACAGCGTGCAGCAAAGTCAGATCTAGTTTCCTTTCCATAATTTGAGTGCAAATAGTAGGATATCTACTCAAACATAAATATTTAGATAAATATGAACCTATTTTACTAAATCCATTCAAGCATATTCGATTTTATTCAGTACTCCGGAACTGCCGAAAATTTATAGTGGTAAAGTAGGCAAACAGCCACATTACTATGTTGAAGAATAAGCACATATTTTGCAGTTTGTATTGAGTTGTAGATCTACTAATATGCTTATAAAATATGGTTTCCAGTAACTTGATAAAAGTGATTCCTACCTAGACATACTAATAGTAAACACATCTTGAGAGTCTTCGACATCGTCTAGGTGAGCGGTTACTTCAGTGTGCTCCCCGACCTGATCTTCAGCGGGGATTTCAGGAATTTCCTCTGAAGCAGTTGGGACAGGGATCGCCGAGTCGTCGTCATCATCCCAGACGGATGCAGTTGTGACGGAAATGACATCTGAATAACACAGAAACCAATGAGTTAGATAAATTTAAATTCACAAAAATAAATTTCATTTCGATTTAATGACAGTACTACGCATAAAGCTCTGAAAAATGATAAACGCTGAATCAGTCACAGAAACTGATTTTTAGGGATTAGTTACGAAAACAATCCCGTTGATTGATAAGTTCTATAGTTGCTTCAGGAGGGTTTTAACTTTGTGATATTCGTGTGTTACAACTTGCACCGGTCTGGATAGGATGCAATAAATGATACTAAGAAGCCATATAAAATGCGTCATTTATACTTGGTTTCCAAGGTCTGTTACGCAAAAACATGGTTACGAGGAGTTATATAGCTCGGACAAATCAACAATAAGTTACTCTATTTTAGTATTCGCTTAAATGCGTTCAATACAAGATATCTACGAGACGAGACAGATAAATTGAATCATAGAAACAATTTTCTAAATCAAACTAAGTAGAATCATCAGTTAATTACAAACTTGTATACACAAGTGTAACTCAGTTACTTAGCAGAGCCCCAAGATCATCATATCACCTATCCCAGAAGAGAATATTGGGTTTGCGGAGAGTTTTAGTTGCAAAGACATGCTTGAAGTACTTATTCATTTAAACACAAACATTAGTACAAGGAAGCACCAAATAGATTTGTGCGAGGGCTGGGATACTGCCCGGGCGCCTAAACAGAAGCAAGTGGTTTGCTTAGGGGGCCACACCCCTTAAAGTACTTTAATATCACCACATTTCTTTGTCTTTTCGGGTTTTCTTTATCTTCTGCATTTTTAGTTTAAAGTTTAATAAAAACAGTAGAAAAATATACCATTTAATCCCTATTTCCTGCCTCCTTTATTAGTTGGATAATTTAAAATGTAATGATAGAAACGTTCACTTTGTTCTCGATGCGTAATAATTGGTAATTCAGTTCACTCTCGTGAAGTGATTGTTTAATCGGTCACCTTATGCATACCAATATTTTTATATATCGCCATAACAGCAGCAACATTTATCATTCACAAGTGATATTAATCCCTTTTCATCAGACTTGACAGAGAAGATAAGAAAAAATCACCGTGACTGCATAAGGATACAAAAAGTGAAGTTATGGATATAAATGAAATGACACGATCGGGAGGAGGATAAGCATTTGAAAGAAATAGCCCAGTAGGTCGACTGAATTAGTTTATTTACATAATCTGTTCAATAAACAGGTGAACTGGTTTACTGAGATTGTTAGTCGGGATCGTGACAAGAGATGGTTGACAAGGAAAGCTTACGTTGGGAACGTTAAACATGTGCAGTCTTTTAGGTTTTGTGTTGTAAACTTTTCCATTTTATCAATCTGCGTACTTGGTGAACATACCATGTATACCCTTTTGATGCTTGTTAGCAGAATGGGATATTTGCAATTCTATTTGTCTTTTATGTTGCAGAAATAGAACAAATCAAAATGTTTTCATATAACTGGCTAGTTAATTATATATTGGTTGGGACGAAAAACGTTCTTTGAACGGATTGAAAATTTTCTTTAATAAAGAATTACCTTCTATTTGCTTCTCTTCCGATGTTGACGTTACATTGTCCCCTACAGAAGTAGGAATAAATACACCAGGAGGCGGGAGATTTTGTGCAGCTGCAGGAGGTCCAGAAAATCCAGTGGAGGTTGTAGGACGATTTGTCTGTTTAGATTCAAGGAGTGTGATTGAAAAAGTTTGTGGAAATGGGTTATTTAACCAAAACTCAGCATTTAAAGTTATCTATGGGGTAGGTAGAAGCCTGACGAAGACAGTGAACTTCTGTCTTAGCATTTATGAATCCTTCCCCAAACATTTAGAATAAACAAAATTGTGTGTACAAATGAAACTTATTCAACCTCTTCTTCTATAATGGCCTTAATCACAAGTTTTCCGAAGTAATTACCCTATCCCTATTTCCCTACAGACGTTTTATCTTTAGCTGACTTATTTTGTTTCTGCACTGTCTATGATTAAATTTTATCTTACTATGTCACTCAACCATTTTGAATAATTACTATTCTTTATAAAAACGTTTATGGAAATATTGATGAATATTCAAGATTTCAACGACTAGGTTTACAGTTTCCTAACAAGGACATCACTTCTTGTAATTTCGTATTAAGCTCAGTAAATTTGATAAACATATTATTGATTACCACTGAAAAAGGC